TATGTATATGTACATACATGTATATGTACATATATACATATACATATATATGTATATATATATAGAAAAATGGGTATGTTTGGTTCCAAGCATAAATTTTGTGCTTGATAGTGAGGTGTCATATTCTCATCCACTCATTCCAATTCTCAACCACTCCCAAATCCATGTTAATATGGGCCCCGATTTCAATGAGTTGAGGGGAATATGCCATCTCATTATCAAGCACAAAAACTTATGCTTGGTACCAAACATATCCATTTTTCTCATATATATATATATATATATATGAGAAATATGGAGAAACTTGGTACGAAGTTTCTCCATTGAACTTGGTAGTGAGATGGCCAAATCCCCATTCTATATCTTGCCTCGAAGAGAGAGCCTCGCCTACTTTTAAAAATAGGCTCCATCTTCGAGTCGTGATGTAGGGGGGCGATTTGGCCACATCATTACCAAGTTCAATGAAAGAACTTGGTACCAAGTTTCTCTATATTTCTCTCTCTCTATATATATGCATATACATATGCATATATGCATATACATATATACATATCATACTCCCTTTAAAAGAGGGAGTTGTGAAAAAACTTTTCAAGGACTATATTACCCCTGTTTTTTGATATTATTTTCTATTACTAACTAAACTAAATTAATTATATATCATCGTTAATTAACTATACAATAAGTCACTTTAAGTTTGTATAATTTGGTCCCTAAAACTTCCAACATTATTGTAAACTCTACATCATATTAATTATTAGTAATTATAATAATATATTAATAGATAATTATATATTAATAAAGTATATATGGAAAGAGTAGAAAATATAGAATTATCCTAAAATTATATCATGACACTCATATAGAAAAATTACAAAGAGCATTCTTATGTTTAGGTAACATGGGAGAATGTACAAACATAAAATTTTAGAAAACATGAAGATATTTAAGTGTGGCAAGATACAAGTAGGGGTATATAAGTATAATTTTGGTGAACTATAAGTTATTTAAGTTCAGTTAAGCCTATAAAAATTTAAAACCTTTGATATCTATAAACATTAGTGTATAATCCTATTGATAAATAATATTTATTATACAATATGAGGCCAGATGCTTAGCTTATGCACTCCTTCATACTTTAAGGAGGATCCAAATATTTAGTGTTCATGATACAGTAAATAATAAAGTAAATTACTATAACATGAACAGTAAATCTTTAGGACCTTTAAGCATGAAGAGTAAATTTACTATTTATACGATAATAATTTACTGTATCATCAATAGTACCCTTTTAAGCATAGAGTAGTAGATATAATTTCTAATTTTAAGCATACAATAATCAAATCAAATGTATTAAACCTTAAAGGGAGGTATGTTCAAAATGCAATGCTAAAAAAAACACCATATTTAGAATAAGTCTCAAGATTTTGAATTATTTCCTGAAATTATATATTTTGCTTAAAAACTTTAGAATAGGCTTTCGAAGGACTGCTACAAGGTGGTGGACATGAGATAGATATTGAACAAATAAAATCCATGATATCAAATTGCAGAAATCGGGAAAATGCATATAATACTGGGCGTCATATGAGATAATATTCATATATAACTTAATATTGTAATATGTAATCTAACATATTAATAAATTTTAAACATAGCAATTTGCATCGAGATATATGCTTAAGATTTTAGAGAGCCGAGAATGCAGAGATTTTGGAGAAGATTGTAGCTTTTGTGGGTTTTGAGGGGTTTCGATTTTGTTTCCCAAACATTATTCAAACCCGAGCCCACAATCAAATTAAAAATGACACGATTATTTCGATATCTTCTAAGGGATATATTAGCCATATTTTTTATAACGGTCGATATATAAAAAAATCACCAAATAAAAGAAAATAATATAAAGTTTTATCTAGATAAAGTCTTTAACTGATATATTGGCCAATATAGCAATATATCAATTGATATTTAATACAATGCCTATAAGAGTAAATATGTGAAAATTATTTAGATATTAGTTCCTTAATTTTAAGTATTCAATAATTCTATGCTATTCCCTAAAAATTTTAAAATTGCTCATGATTTTAGGGACTAATATTAAATTATTAAAATTTTAAGGGACAAATTATAAATAAGCTATATTTAAAAGAAGAGCTAATTTTTTAAAAATCGTCTCAACTATATGGATTGTCTCAAAAAACCCGCTCACCTGATTCAATTTAATAAAACCCTTTATTATGAGAGTGTTATAGATAATCCCTCTCAATTTTGGTGCTATTTTAGAAAATACCCTTCAACTATAATGTGTCTCATAAAAACTCCTATAATCTTTTATACTTCTATCAATAGACCCTTTTAACATAGTTACTTCAATAAGTGACTTGGACGAAATACCCTTTTGAAGAAAACCATTTTAGTTAAAAAGAAACGATGAACCTGTAATAAAAGGACAACAACCAATCCACAATTCTTTTTCCTCTATATCACCTCTTTTTATTTTATCTAGCAAAAACCAAGGTAATTCTTTTATGGTTGAGGGATATTTTGATCTTTCCAAGTTAAGTACTTGTCACATAGTAGATAAGACTTAATGATATTAGTTTTGAGAGGTTAGTTTTAAGTAAGAAAAGTTCATAGGGGTTAAATCAAATTTTTTACGTTGAGATAGATTTTTTTACAAAACATCCAAAACTAGACGGAGATTTACTCAGTTTCAAATAGTTTTTTTTAGAGAGTGATGTTGACATGCGCCCCATAGTTGAGGGGGAGTTTTCAAAGTCAACCTTTAACCAAAAGCACCACTTAAGGTACATGTGACATCAATTCTATAAGAGTGGAGTCTATAACAAGACCATCACTCAATAAATTAATTTGGGTTATTTGTCCTTAAATTTATCCTATACATCAACTCATAAATTCTTTTGTAAAAATCTTTTGCTATAAAAATCTCTAAGAGAAACTTAATCTTTATTTGGGATAGGTACGTGATCCTTTTGATTCCCCTTGTCCTTCATGATTTATAATAAAGTATTGGATAAAGTAAATTTATTTGTCATTTTATATTACTCAACTTCTTATAAGTTTATGAAGCTCAAAACTCGGATATGAGTATTGTTGCGAAAACTGTATTCTTCTAACTCCTTAACATAATTTTTTGGATATTGTTTGACATTGAATGGATATGAATTATTTTGTTAAAATACAATCAATATGAGTGCATAAATCATAATATGTATAAACCATTCTCAAAGTATATTTTATAATTTTTAGAAACTAGAGAATAATCAATTTGATAGACAAATTAATAATTGTTGAGATGTAAAAAGAGTACGATATCATATTTTGGAATTGATCACATACTTTATGTTTTCGTTCTTGATTGAATTTGCACATTCTAACTTAGAAAATTCTAGGAAAAAAGTTATTGAATATATATAATATTCGGTTACCGGATAAACAATAGGTGAAAGTGATTTTTTTTTATAACTAAACAAAATCCTTAATGATTGGATAAAACCTACCATTTTTCTTTGATGAATTCAAGAATTTATTTTCTTTATTAATAATAATAGTTTTTTTCCATATTGGCCCCTTACATCATTAATATTTTGAAATCATACATTCAAATTGCTAATTAATCTTAAATCAATAATATTTTAAGGCTTTAAACATCACTATTTCTCTAGAAGATAAAATGTTAAATCTAACAATATTTTACACATGGAAATATAAAAAAATTAATATATTATGATAATTATAAACTTTTTAATCATGTTATAGTAAATAAATAAACTTAAA